GGCAATACGCCTACCAAAATTTAACATTTGCTGTGCAAGAGACAATAAAGTTCTTCCCTCCCCTCCTTCTTTTCATCCTAACTAAAAGATCTAATGTTTAGCCACCCAGCATAAAGGCTACATTGCTGGGTCTGTCTTGCAGCTGTGTGTACAGGGGACGGTGACTCACTCTGGAGCCACCAAGGTTACGGACAGCTGAATAGGTTGAACTACCACAGGCGGTCAGAGAGGGCAAAGCCCTCAAGGGACACAGCGCAGATGATGGGCACATGCTACAACTGTGGCTGGAGGTGCATCTGTTGAAGGTCAAGCCCCAAGATAAAGACGGAATGACCAGGCCTCCACGCCTCCCCAGGGCATAAGCGATAAAGTGAAAACTATAAGACAAGTAGTATCACCTGGTGCAATGAACTCTAGGCAGACATGAGTCACTCGGGTTGGTGGTTCGCCCTTCCTAAAAGGTCCTTCTTCTTTCCGTGTATACTTGCTACACGACCTGATTCCCCACTGGATCCCTACTACCTACGTGGCCATACTTGTAGTCTAATTGTTCGATCACAGGTTTGACCCATGTGGTACCTACCTCGTGATTTTATACCCACCTTGTGATCTTGCTGTACAAAACTTCCTCTGTAAAGCTGGGGTCTGCGGCAATCCATTGTCAGCCTCCTACTGTCTCTCGGGAGCTATCCCTCTTAATCAATTCTTCCTACTCCTAACCTTCATTGTTCCTTGGAATTCATTCTTCAGTTTTGGAGAACGTGAACTCAGTGTATCTGACTCTAGCAGGTCAGCATTATATTATTCAGAGATATCCCACCATCCCAGACAAATAAGAAGCAATCTCATTATTAAAACACATTCAGGAAAGAAATGCCACTATTTTGTTTCATTGTGATTTCAATTAGGAAAACACTTTCATGAGTATTTATCACTGTCAGGCATATAAATGGATGTTAGGGCCGGCGGTAGAGCTCAGCAGACTAAACGCTTGCTTAGGTAAGCGCAGGGCCCAGGGTTCCATCCCTGGCTCCGCATGCCGCGCCGGCCCGCCCCCGGGTGCGCGAGAGCCGGAGATGGAGTCCGGGCGTGCCTGTAATCCCAGCACTTGGGAGGCAGAAATCAGGAGGATCGCTACTAATGTGGGCTGGGTAGTGAGACCCTGCAAAAAAGAAAAAACAAAACAAAAAATAAAACAGCAAATGGATGTTAGCAGGCCAGAGGGACAAAGGGGATGTCCAACATAGCATGCCGTGCCAGTTATAACTAAGAAACTCCTCATCGAACAATACCTACATTTATATGAGCTCAAATCCGAAGATATAAGGCTTCTGCCTCCAGAGCCACTGTACTGCATTCCTGGGTGCTATAGCCTACAGCCAAATGATCTCAGGAAAGAAACTGGTTGTTGGTTTGTTTGTTTGTATGTTTGTTTTTTCCTTTTCCATTTTATTTATTTATTTTCTAATCTTTCTGTTTAAAATATGGACTTCTTCATGAATTTGCCTGCCATCCTTGCGAGGGGCCAGGCCAATCTTCTCTGTCTCCTTCCAGTTTCCGTATATGTGGTACCGAAGGGAGCAGAAGACACTGGCTTTCCCAGACCCTTCCACCTCGGACTGAGCCCTTATCTAAACTATTGTCTTAAATTTCTTATGTGACGAAGACGCCTGAGGGAAGACTGACCTTCGGAAAAGGACTGAGCAGACATTTTGCAATTTCAAAGTATCTTCCTAGTAATGCAATTACCCTAGTATTGCACATAAAAGTATATCCAGACTTCTACTAGAAGCAGATGCCTTTGTGGCACTTAGATGAATTAGAAAAAAATTAATGAAGTAGAAAAGAGACCAAAAACATCAAGATTTTAAAAGTGTGCTTCTAAGAGAAACTTCAGCTTTAGGACACAAAAGTTGCTCAAGCCTTTTTCCTTTCCAGGAAATTCACTAAACAAACCCTTTTAAGAATTCTTTCATCCGTGTGTCTTTGTAGTACACAATGCTTGTATTTCTCGTGAGGAGCTTGTACCCACATGCAACACTTCTTAGTCTACATTGTCCCCTCCCCACCCCTCCCTTCTGCCTCCAACTCGCTTCCCTTCCCGTATGAAAGATCTCTACTTTCATTTTTTCTTTGATTCTCTTTTTTAAAGCCTTTGCCTTTCCACTCTTCCTCTCTCTCCATCTCTTGTTCCTCT